TCTTTCCCTCAGTAAGAGCATTGAAGATGGGTTGTAGCTGGGTCTTCCAGCATGACAGTGACCCCAAACACAGAGCCAGGGCAACTAAGGAGTGGCTCCGTAAGAAGCATTTCAAGGTCCTGGAGTGGCCTAGCCAGTCTCCAGACCTGAACCCAATAGAAAATCGATGGAGGGAGCTGAAACTCCGTGTTGCCCAGCGACAGCCCCAAAATCATTCTTTGTTCATTTGTTTTGGTGTGGTAACCTGTTTCTTTATTACACTTGTCTCTTTAAAATGTTAAAACTGTTTTGTCATCAGGCCCATGTTAAAGAAAAGATTTTGATTCGTTTGCATCCAATCTTAATCATGTTTCAGAAACATTCAGTTGCTGAAAAGCCTGGGATTCGGTGATATGGTACAGGTGGTGAGAAGTGCTGGCTAATGCAGGACTTGTGCTATTTATATTTGGGTGACACTGACTCAGCTAGTCAAGCTCCTGTACTCAGTGAGGACTTGTGAATGTTTTTATTAATTGAAAGTGATCAAATATGCACGCGGGAGGAAAAGGTATTGATTTCATTTCTTTGCCTAGTCTTTTATTACGTGAGACCTGGCTAGTGTAAACACATGTTCCCTGTGGAGTGCATTTCTGCACCAAGCACAGAAATTGGGTTTTGATATTGTTAGGAGCTGAATGAAAGCAAACGCATCTAGAGGGAGAGAAATCACTTGGTAGCCAATGACAGCATGTAAAAATCTATGTTCTTTGAGGTCAGGGGCAGACTGAAAATAAGCATTGCTTTTGTTAGAAATGGTCCTTTCACGAGAGTTGAGGACATGTACTTTAGCCACCATATTCATCCATAAAAACTTGCTTTTCTCTCTTTTTCATTCTCTCTGGAAGATCCACCATTTTCTTCATTCCCTTCCATCACATTATTCATCTGACTGCGTTTTCGTGCACTTAGGGTAACCAGGTTACTGAGAGAAACCAGGCTGAGCCAGAAACCATAGCACGTTTAGCAGTAATCAGGTTATTCAAAACATGGACTCCTAGGTAATCTCCTCTCATAAACAAAGATGTACTTGGTCGATCAAGCTTGTATTTTGGTCTCTGTAGCGATGTTTCACCTCTTCATCACTAAATTGACGCTGGCTTTTTGTAGTTGCTTTGTCTGCACTGCTGCTGCTCCTCATGTTGGTAATTGTCTGTCTCCATCGGTGACAACTTCCTGTTTTTCTACAGCCACATGTACACAAGCGACCTTGGAGCTTGTTTTTTACACATGCGCTCTTGTAAAAAGCTGATTAAAAATCCATTTACATGTATAAATGGCAGAGAAAGCTGCGCTCCCTGGGAGAAATCTACCTGGGGAAATCAGGTTTCCCTAATCCCCTCCCCCAATTAGGGAAACCGTTTACATGATGGTTAAAGAATCAGCTTACTCGAGATAGCCGACTGTAACCTGGTTACTTAAGTGCATGTAAATGCAGTCAGTTTCAGTGGGACAATAGAAAACTCTAACCTCTCTAATGGATCAAGGCAGGACATTTTACCTTAAATATTAAATAGAAAAAGTAAATATTACTCTCTATTAGAGATGCAACGATATTTGTAATTTTGCAGTGTCACGATAGAAAAGTTTCTTGATAATGTCGCGGGACTGTGATGGTATCTACCAGGATATTACACACGGTTATTTCACTTGTTTACAAGATTCAGCTGCTGCAGTAATATTTTACTTCATAAAAAGACTGCTACTGACTGCTGCTTTCCTTTTGTTGTTTGTTTTACAATCATGCAAACAGTTCACTCATTCAGTGCCAATGACAATTCATGCCAGTTTTTACACATGCTTAGGTCATGGGCGGCTATTTTTATTTTAATAAAGACAGAAAGCAGGAACACTAAGTTGAAGGAACATCAAGGAAAATAAAGGCTGTTTTTTAAAATCTTTTTTCTTTTTTTATATCTTGACAAATATTGTATTGTGGACTTTTAATTGTGGCAAAATCCAGCCGTGAGTTTTTGGTATTGTTACATCCCTACTCTTTATTGGCTTGCTCGCCGCTGACGATGACACAAGTGAGGGCTTTCTCAAGTGACAAATGGGAATCTAGAGTTTGTGTGTTGGTTGTTTTTGCTATATTTTACATTGGTGATTGGAGTTCAGAGGGTGTGTAATAATACAAAAATCATATAAAACAACTTTAAAAGGTGTCCATTAGAAAATTTTCTACTAACCCTAATCTAAAATTAATGTTATGTTTATGTAATAAAATAACATCTAAGGTATGATTCTATGATATAATAAGGCTCAGAAATCCAGTATCAGTCAGGGTATGTTAGCAGCATGAAATGTACCAAGTGTTATGTTTGATACCTGTCTGCAGAGTGATACTGAAATCCACTCACCTACACTAAGAATATGAAAGAAGATTCACACAAGACTTTGCTATTTCCTTGGAGACTCCTCAGTCAAGGTATCTAATTCCCTATCCTCTGTCATACCTACAGGAGCAGTGGGCAGGTCTGCTTTCCTCTGAACCATAAAATCTTTTGCATTGACCTTGTGTTGTAACAAGAGGGATAGCACCTGCCTAAACAGATGATGGTGAAATTCACATGCAGCTGAAAGTGAAGAACTGGTTTCTACAAGTGATAACAGTAAAAACAGTCCTACCAAGGCCTGGATTTCTTTCCTTCTTTACACACTGACTTAACAGTTGTATCAGTTGAGATCTTTAGTATTTATTTAGCCCATTCACTTCTCTCTAAAGCCCACACGTTTTCCTCAGACTCCAGTGATCAGTAACTCTATTGGCCTTATCATTCTGTAACCGGTTAGTGTGTTTCATATATGATGTTTTGGTAGCAAAACTAATACGTAGATGTGCGCGTTCCGCTGTTTGTACACTTTAGGAGTGCGTCAACACGCGCGCTGTCCATAACCGTGCCCTTGCCTGCGTCGTGCAGCTCATTACGTTTGATCCATGCTGGGCTTCTACGCTTGCACTCGACACTTGGCGGACGGAAGTGCAGGGCAAGTGGTGGTGTGTTGCTGCTGATACCGTGGGGCTCAGTTCGTCAGCCCTTCTCCAGCCTCGGTGAAGCAGTCTGGGATTCCTTCAGTGCTCGGTCTGGGATGCGCATCTGGACCAGAGAGTGTCCCGGGGGCAATACGCGTCGAGGCACTCCACTGTACCTCTCTGTCCCCGTCCTCTTGCCCCCACTGAGGAAATAAAAACACCGGCTGGGGGAAATTTGGTTTTTTGACGGAATGGCTGGCGCAAAGTGCCTTCTGAAAACGCCGAGGTGAGAGTCTGCTTTTTATTTCGAGAGGGGGAAAAATGTCGAGGAGCATATGCGAATATACCCAAAGGAAAACAGCTCTGTCTTTTCAGGTACTTTAAGTAGTCTGTGTGTCCAGCACTTGCAGTTAACAGCGTTTTTGTTGCATCTGTGGTGCCACCTAATATCTTGCTGTGATGTTTGTAGCACCCTTTATAATATATGGTATTTTAGACATTTTTACAAACGCGCTAGAATAAAGTGAGTGTGAATGCATTGTATCTATGTTGTGTGTGTGGTGTTTTTTTTTTTTTTTTTTTTTTTTTTGCTGTCGAAGGGCTGGAAGACGCCTGCTTGTGCACAGATAAACTGTACAGTTGGCCAGCGGAATCCTCGGGCGCACACGTTGCGTTAAGTGTTGACAAAGCGCACCAAAGCCATGCGAAGCGTCGCAATAAAGCTGCTTTCGGTGGACTGTCAGTGTTTGTGCAGAATACAAGATGCTTCAGCTTTACTGGCCTGGTAATTGAAACGCGTGCCAGTGGAAAAAGTGGACAGCAGTTGCGTTTTAAATAGGAGTGTTCTATTTCCGCGGTTTCCACAGATCTCTCATGTAAATGAGATTTGGAAACTCAATGAGATATTACCTGGTTGAATAAAGGAACTATAAATAAAGAAAGCTATAGTCAGATTTAGTCATCTCTGTTCTCAGGAGTTACCGTTACCAGGCAAAGCCGAAATTAAAGGCTTTTGCAGTCTTCAGGATCCACACACCGGGAAAATAGATTGTTTTGCTCAAACGAACGCTTTCCCAAGCAGTGTGTGAACCGAAGGCTCGAAAAGGCGCCTTTTGGTGCACAGATAAACTGCACAGTTGGCCAGCGAAATCTTCCGGCACGCACGTTTTCACACTGAATTACAACAACGAGCCAGGGGCTGTCCTTGAAGGCGAGACATTTCAGGGGTTAACGGTGTTCTTACACCAGGTAAATGGCTGCTGGCTAAGTGAGGCCCCGGGAGCAGGAGAGCGCACCAACCTGTCAGTCATCGCAGTGTTGTGATGGAAAGGTCGTTAGGCGCGAAGATTAGAGGGGAGGTCGTGCGTGACAAATCTAACTCCCGCTGGGCTTTTTAAAAATTTATACTTTTTTTTTTTTCACAAGTGTTTATCACTTCCAGCTTTTACAGTGACATTCACATCCAATTTTCTGCACACATCCAACATATTCACTGCAGAGCCATTGCCTCCCCTTCTGTGTGTGTGTGTGTATACTGGATTGGTGTTTTGATGTGTGCCAAGCAGACAGCAGCCTGTTTTAAAGCACATCACTTATTACCAGTATAGCATCTCCTTTTTTTTTTATTGGCTCTGCCATTCACAACAAACTTACTGTTCCTGTGACACAATTAATTTGCATCAGTAAGTAAATCATCAGTAAGTAAGTAAAGGCAAATAGATATAGTTGCATGATCCATCCCTTGCAGCTTTCAAAACGGAATGCTTTTAATTTGTTTATAAGTATGTGAATTGCAGAATAAACAGCTGCTCCTGTTTAAAAATTCCTCTCAACCTCTCTATTTTCCAAATTGATCCTCATTAATGCCATTTCAGATAAGCTTTAGTTTGGCTTATCTCACTGAAAGCATGCACAGAGGATAATGACGCCTTCCTGGGGTTTTATTTATTTATTTATTTTTTGAGTTTGCTGTGTTTTTAGACTAGTCTGACCTACATTCCCATCACTTAGTTTATTGAATAATTTTGACTTATTCACCAAATAATGGTCATATACTGTGTTTCTCTTTGTCCTGCTTTCATCCTCTGTCACTGTCAAATTTAATGAGTTGGCAAAGCGGGCATACCTTTGGAAACTGGCTGCAGGGTCTCGTGAACATGTTGATAGGTGCATAAAAAAGGTGCATTTCAATGAATTGGTCCACCATGCACTGGGCTTTTTCTTCATGCTAGTGTCTGTGTAATGAGTTCATGCAGAAAGAGAAGATGTCAGACATTTAAACCTTTTAGCCACATGGACTCTCATAAATAATAAAGCAATAAAAAGTTTTTGACATTCAAAGATCAACATCCAAGTCTCTTTGCACTCTTCAGTAAACAATGGGAAATGTCACCTTGGCTGGCCATACATTTTCTTAAGATGGTGTTTGGAGCATTAGAGGCTGCCCTGACCCTGTTGTGGTAGTATAGCAATGAACAATTCTCCTGTCTGATAATGGCTGTCGGTCTGGTTAATTCATTAGAAGAGCGCCACAGTTGTGCAGTATAAACAACTTTTGACAGACAATGGGCCGCTCCAGTCAGAGCAGAGATAACTCGTGCCAGACTTTTCAAAAAGGAATGTGTTGAATGTTTGACAAGGACTTGCTCTGACAAAGTCAACTCCATGCCCTTTTTGTGTTGCAGTATCTTCCAACCATCTGCCATGTTTGAAGGCTCAGAGTCCGTCGAGGGGGATGGAGGGAGCACAGACAGTACAGTGGCCTCGTCCATCAGCGCCTGTAAGAAGGTAAAAACTGGACTATGTCTTGTGCATTTGTACTGAAGTGTACAACTCTCCACCTGTGTCCCCCTCTATCTGCTATATGATCCCTTGTCAAACACTTTTTGCCTTTGTCTCTTGCCTGTGTATCTGTTGTATGTCTCCTTGTCAGTCCATCGGTTTGCATGTTGCCGGCAATGCAATAGATTTTCATTTCGTCCTCGAGGGTGCTAGTAACACCCATGGGTTGTGCAATAAGGCCCTCAGGTCAGCCCAGTAGATTTATTATGTACCTGTGCCAGAAATAGGAGGGGAATAGTACAGATCAGTGGGCTGAGGTGGGGACTAGTTCACATTTGTGTGTGTGTTGGCCTGTACTCTATGTATCTGCTTCCTGTGTGTGTTCCTATTTAGGCTACCACTCATGATTTTAGCAGATCTGGGCTTTGGGCTCCCCTGACCAGTGCTACCAGCCTTTCTTATAGTTGGTGTCGGTGAGATCAGATGAACCTACGTCACCTTTACCTGGCCGAAGGCCGGCACAGATGGTCTGTTCCTGAGGGTGTAGGCATACAGGGACAGGATTGTCACTAAAAATACACAGCAAAAATGAACAGCGCACACAGTATCTGTCATATGTCAAAGCAGTTGCATAAGATTTTATTTATTCCATATAAATTTAATCTTTTATCAGCTGTACTTACAATACTGTTTGAAATGTAGTCATATAACATAGCAAACAGGTTTCCTTCTTTTTGTTTTGTAGATATATGTATATATCATGTGGTCAAACATAAGCATCAAGGTAATCTTCACTCTTTGAAATAAACTGGCTTGTACAGTAATTGGGTGACAGCTTTATGTCTGACTGCAGGTCTCATCCTAAAGGTTCTGTTAAAACATTGCTCTAGGGAGGAGACAACAAC